AGCATAAACAAACGGATTAGACCTAGTAAAGGAGGGAGCAAGTCTAAAATTTACAAGGACAATTTCATACTTCTAGGTGGCCCAGCTGGAGTTTTAGAAGAAGTGGTCGGCTGTTTCTCAGCCGCCGCATGTTTCCTGGCAGAACCAGGAGAGCTCGCAACAGTCGTCTTCCGGGCCTTGGGGTCCGGCTGTTGGGAAGAAGAAGCTCTTGGAGCGCCCGTCTAAAAAAGAAGAAAAGAGTCAGTATATGCATAAACACAACTCCAAAAAGAGGGTGAAAGGTTCGAAGCCCACCAAGGGTGCCCCCTTGTTGGGGGAGTCGGTTGAAGACTGTTGCATGATGGAGGCCCGCAACATGGCCGCCGCAGTCTTGGAGGTGGTAATTTTGCTCATGGCGTCCGCTACAAAAACAAATAGCAAAGTTAATAAAAGTCATAACAAGAAATGCACGGAACAACAGAGTATTCGACAGGCCGGCTACCTCTTGAGCACCGACTGCTGAGGCCACAGGCGGCCAAAAAGTACTCGTCGTAGAGCCATTTGAAGCTCGGGACGCAGTGCAGGGGTACTTGCTCTCGTACCCCTGAAGTAGAGTTCACCTTCGACTCTACTTTGAAGAGTCCTTTATCTAGGATCTCTTTCTTAGCCTTGGGGGGAACAGGCGACATGCTGCGGCCGCCTGCAAGAAGGGGCGGATTCCTGTTCTACCTGTTGAAGCGCTTGTTCAACTCTGTGTCTGAACTCTCAATGATAAGGAAGGTGCTCCGCCAGTCCTTCCATTTGTTTGCTTTACCTCTCGTCATGAGGTAGCCCCTGTGGCTCGTCAATTGATACCAGCCGGTACCGCCTGCCTTAGGGGTCCGGCTGAGGTAGTTCATGTGGGCGAAAGCCTCGAAGTTCAGCTCCACCCCGTGCAGTTCGCACCCGGCCACATAGCCGAGTACGTTGACCCAGGATTTCGGGGCTAACTGCCATAACCCCAACTCATACCCATCCAAGATCCGCTGAACTACCGGATGTAGTGGGAAGCGCAGCCCAGCCTTGATGGCCGCCTCGTAGCAGCCAAAGAAGGCGCCATCATAACTGGTACCAGCCAGCCAGACGACTGTGTCTTCTGGATCCGGCACGAACACTAAAAAGCCGGAGCCCATTGCGTGGTTTGCGATAAAGCTCCCCATTTTCTCTTGCATGGCCGTGATCCGGCCCCGAGGTACCGTGCAGTAGTAGGGGGTATTTTGCTCTCGGTGAGAGGCGGATGGCTCCGCCCAATCGTCCCCCTTCTCAACTGCGTGAGAAAGCCTCGCCTCTTGTAGGCGACTGTTTTTCTCTTCTGTGTCCAGAGAAGCATGGCCAAAAGAGCTAGACTCGGATTCGTCCTCTGACGAGTCCAAAGAGGACGACTCCTCCCCTCTCCCGGAGGGGCCCGCCTCCTCTCCTTTAAAAGGAGCGGGAGAGAATGTAGAATTGTCAACTGTAAAATGGGAAGGGGTCACTTTGACTCCTCCCTCAGAACTGCCGGCTTTCAAGCCGCTTTGTTTCACTTCCACATCTGGCGCCTGGTCAGATGTTTCACTAATCGGCACCCTGTGGGAGGAGCCGTCTGAGTTTGAGATCCTGGCAGTCTTTTTTGTTCTGGCCATCATGCTCTGCATAGACACAGATACAGTCGAACTTTGTATAAAGGGCAAAGATGGGTCCAGAAAAGGGCAGGCGGCACTCCTAGTCCTAGATTCAGCCGTCCCCGGTGACCGGCTGATCACTAACCTAGGTCGTGTCGTGTGCTTCAGTGGTGCCATTTCAAAAAAGAATAAAGTAAAGAGAAAATTAAGAGTAAGAGAACCGACGGTTACCTGAACGAGTGACGATTGATGAAGTTCTGAAAATCCTTTGCAGTCGGCTTGTCAGAGCAGGCGGTAGGCAGAAAGGGTCCAAAATGTCAGAGCAAGTTCAGGGGTCCGAATGTTCTCTCACAAAGTTTTCAAGTGTGAAAACGACCGAAGTCAACACTCCTTTATATAGGCGAAGTGAGAAGGCGAAGGGTCACTTCCAGAATTCAAAATTTTGGCGGGAGAATCTCTCGGCCTCTCGCCGAGTGACACCTGTAGCAGGCCGTCGCCTGTTACAGGGCGACACCTGTCACAGGTAACACGTGACCAGTCACGTGCCACCTGTGAGGGGCAAATGATTAGGGGATTTTGCTTCCACCAATCGGAATGCGCCACGTGGGCCAATCAGGTCCTGCCAAGTGTCCCCCAGTTGGACCTCTCAAGGCTTGCCACGTGGCACACGCTTATTCGTCCACCATGGACTTATTATGTCATGACACGTGGCATACTCCATGCCTAATGGAGAAGCCGGTCACCTAGGCCCGACTTCCGAGGGAAGCCCAATCAACCCAAGGTTAACCTAAACCTAGATTGGCACGTTTCCCGAGGTTATAAATACCTCCCTTAATCCTCATTAAGGGAGATGACGCAGATTACACACATTAAACACTCTCACCTAGAGAGACCCAATCACTTTAATTTCCGCATTAATTACTCCTTAATCAAGTACTAACTTGACCGTCGGAGGCGGATCTCCAATCATCCGGAGCATCCGTTTGTTTTGCAGGCACAGGCGTCCGATTCCAGTCTCGGAATTGTAACTCTCCCGCAGGACATCAGAAAACCCCGAAACACCAACCAACCGAGCATAATAATTGCAGATCATTTACTCCCTATCTCGTAATTTGAGAAGATTCTTAACTTCCGCATTTATTACAGACTCCACTCCGGTTCTAACTTGATCGTTAGAGACGGAACTCCCCCAACCGGAGTCTCCGTTATTTTGCAGGTACAGACGTCCGGATTCCAGTTTTGTTGTAACTCTCCCGAAGGACACAGAAAACCCCGAAACATTTGACGCCGTCTGTGGGGAGAGTACTTCTAAGATGACATCTAAAGAGTCTGTACCGCCTGCCGAAACAAGTCAAGTAATAAAAAACAGAGGTAGTAATATTTATATTCAAGTTGGCATTTTTTTATTCTATTTTATTAAAAAGTTTTTTTTGAGGGAAATAAGAGCACCAAGAAGTAACACGTGTCATTTCTAATGTCTATTTTAGTATTACGTAGTTGATTGATACTTAATCAACTTTTATTTTATTTTATTTATTATTTTTTTTATTTTTAGGGGCTCATCAAACATCAATGTGTTTTTTGGAGCTCTATCATCTGTTTTATATGCATAGCAGCATAGTACATTAGCGCATATGGTTGGGAAAAACCAAAACTAATTTGGGATTAGGCTTGGTATGTTACATATTGGTTGGGCTGGATCACTAGATGGACCGATAGTTAAGGTTAAAGTCAATTGCTTGTGTTTAAGAGGCCTAATGAATGCGTGTTTTTTTCTTAGGGAATGAATGCATGTTTCCTAGGTACATATCGTTTGGGTTATATATTTATGCCAACTATATTTGTTGGGGTTCTCTTCATACTTTGTATTTTTTTTTTTTTTTTGGTTGTTGTTGTTTAAAGAGCTATAATAATGGTGATGAGAATCAATACTTGAATTTCCTAAAATTCAGAAGTAAGCTCTAACCAACCGAGCTTGTCTATTTTTATTGGTTGGTTATGTCGTGGATCAGATGGATGAGAATCTCTTACAGTGTTATTGGAGCTGCGGTTTATCCTAGGATTTCTACTGCTTTGGACAACCCTAAATTGGATGAATTGTAAGATTTGCCGAGCTTGACAAGGAGAATTCAGTGTTTTGGGGTATGATTCATGCCCCCCAAGTTTGGAACGTTTGCTTATAGAGTATAGTACGTTAAGATGAAGTTCTTTGCGCGTAAGATGGCCCTGAGACGTAGGGCAAAGTTTTATATTTCTATCACCAACCGCCCCTATAGGGCGAAGTCGCCCTTAGCCTCCGGACGAAGTTTCATTATACAATGAAGTACATTACATATCTTACCTCACTTGCCTTATGCTTTGACGACTCACCGAGCGATTTTGTTCAAGGTTTGCATATGAAGATTTTGAAACATATTTTTTAAGACCGGATTTCACCCTAAATAGGTTGACATGACCCAAACCCATCAGGTGTGATATTGGGAGGCCGGCTTAGCTATTTTAATTGGTTTTCTTGTAGAGAGCACTTAAACCCTAGTTAATTCCTCTAAACTTTTGTTTATTACATGAAGCACTTTGCTGGATCAAGTTTTATTCAATATCATTCTAGAAGTAACTTTCATAATTAATTGTTCGTGTTCCTTTGTTATCATTATTTTCAATCTTTTATTATTTTGATAATGTTTTCAATCATATTATTTAAGTATTGCTTTAAATATGTGTGAGTTGTCTTATACTAGGTCTAGGAGGATCTATGTTGTAATATGGAATTAATTTCTTTTTGAGTTGAATTTGAATTGTTTTATTCTATTTCCTTATTCTTTGTTAATTTGTTATTATTGATTGTTTTGGTTGAAATCTAACTGGGTTTGATAAAATAAATTTGTGAACATTGTGGAAAGTTAGAAATGTTGTGCTAGACTTGCAATAATAGGTTGAGTGAATCTAGTAAATTAAAACACACTCTTTTTTTTTTTTTTTTTTTTTTTTTTTTTTTTTCATCCCAACTTTCATTTGCATAAAGTTATAAATGAACATGGGGTAAGTAAGTTGTAACAAGGTGAGTATGATGCAATTATAAGTATAACATACTTGTACTTGATAGTTAGATGCCTTAAAATGGTGTAGGTTTGTTTGGCTTCAACTTCTTGCTTGATCACTAGGTCAATATATAAATTATGTATATGTTCAATTTGCTAACGGAATAAACACGCCGTCAAATGATTATCCCATAAGTAAAACCAATTTATAAAACCTAAACAAACCTAATACGTATTTTGGAAAAGACCTAAAAAGGGACAAACATCAAGTGGTCCACGCTTTATACTAAGGAATACTAACTAAGCTTGGGAAAGACCTAAAATATGTGTTAAAATCATCAAATTCTGATAAACTTTACGGGAGCAGTAACTAAGTAAGGGGCAAATTAGTGAAAAATGTTCCAAGAACAAGAATCAATCGCCTGAACATAAGAGCTACTAACTAAACATGACAATTCTAGCTTAGCTAAACCATCATCACCATTAATCTTAACACTTTAGTAGATTGATCTCATTCGAACTCGGCCGTCCTAAGGTGAACTCTAAATTCAGCAAACTATGATCAGCTGATGAAAAACAGGCAGCTGGTCCAAGCCTTTCTTGATCCATGTTTGATAATTTCACCCCATTATTACAACCATCCACCTAGTAAAACACATAGTTAGAAATATAAATGTACAAAAAAAAAAAAAAAAAAAAAAACATTATATATACACAAAATCACAGTTATATAAAGTTGCTCGTGAATGTGAAATGGTACATACCTGAGTTTGAGAATATAGGCTGTTCATCAGGGGAGCTTCGTTGCCTGCGTCTAAGGATGATAACCATGAACCTCTGCATACAAGTATTAATCGTAATACGTCAATGTTATTGCATAATGAATGAATGAATGAATGAATGAATGAATGAAAGAATGATTAAATGATCAAGTCATCAACATCATACATCAGTAAACTTCATTCAACTATTACTATAAAAATTGTGCAGATTTAATCTGCACATAATTTATAGAGTAAAAATAAATGGCCTATTAGAGTAAATTCTCATTAATACTAAGGCTTTCTTGAAGGTGACGGTTTTGGGCTTGACCCAATTAAGTCAAGTAGAAACTGGCTTGTCAAAGATCACATCCCAGTATTACACTCTTTTTTAGGGCATTATTTTCCATAAAATGTGTGTTTTTTTTTTTTGTTTTTTTTTCAACAAGTTGCCTTTCTCAAGCTTAGCTTGTTCATAGGAGTATGCTTACAATGTATAAAAATAGTTCCTTTTAACTCATCTTCAAAGTTCAAATTGTATAATTGGATTTAATAGATCACCCTTTCTTATACTACTAGAGTATATACGTATAGAGCACTTGACACAAATCAAACCTTGATATCGAGAAAATTTCTCTTAGCAATAAAACGTATAACTAAGTACTCGCTTCGTCCAAATAAGTTGTGTTTCTTATCCTTATTAGCTACAGAGTAATTTGTGGATATAATATGATGTGATAAATACGTAGTATTAAAAATCCATTTTTTAACAATTGGATCATCACTCTCATGCTCATCAATACAATGCGACTTACAAGTAATTGTTTACACGTAGCTATTGCTTTTGTAGCTATAGTTTTTATACTTAGTACCACAAATCGCATAATCTAGTTGTTATTTGTCACCTCACTAGTTTAAAAGTGACATAATTCATCGGTTCACTTCACGTTGCAACAACTTAACTAAACTACGGAATGAGCTTTATTATTGGTCAAGATGTTGCAACTAAAAGTGAATGAAAAAGGTATAATTTTGGACAGAATAAACATATACATATACTAGAAAAAAATATGTGCAATAATCCAAATATCCAAAGTGCTAACCTACATTAAATTTGAAAGCAATTTCCCACTTAGAAAACCATTGAGAAAGGGAGGGCTAGCTTCATAGGATACCACCCGGCAGTCCCGCAAAATCAAGTCAACAATTAACATTAAATACAAGACAACATTATACGTTGCAATTTTTAATAATTCATTCACTCGTTCAAATATTGATAATCTAGCAAAAAGCCTATAAATTTAAGAAATTTACTGCAACTTCTACAAAGTTATTACATTGAGATTCGAGCTAAACTACTGCTTGACTTTTTTTTTTTTTTTTTTTTCCTGCACTTAGGGATCTGGACATTCATAAATCTGACGGATGGGAATAAACAAAGAGGATAATAATAATTGTTAAATTATTGTTATTATTATGTAGAAGAATAAAACAAAAAAGAACAAACACTTTATACACCTAAAAATCATAGATATGATCCCTTTTTCTTCTCCAAATTCAATGTAAGAAGAAAAGATTTTTATTGAAGGATGTAATTCTAAATCTAATTTTTAATTTCTTTAAAATCTGTATTCATTACACCATTAACAAAGAGAGACATAATATGTTGGACCCAAAAACAATCACCACCACCAAGACAATTCTTGTGTATATATGTATACAATGTGTCTATTATGTCTATGTGTTTGCATTCTTATTGTGTTTCCACTTTTTGTGGGTTTTACTCTTTTTGACCCAATAAAAGAAAATTAAATAATTTATTTGTTTTTAAAATGGAAAAAAAAAGTACCAAAAGATCAAAGTATTCAACCCTCATATCAAAGATAATAGACTAAAAAAAAGTGTGGAGTACAATTTCTATTCTCTACTCTATAACAAGTGTCCACTTCCTATAATTAAAAAATTTAGACGTGTATAGTAGTGTTTATTCCAGAAGTACCCTTAAAGAAACCCGTACTCTCCTTAATATCCAAAATATATACTTCTTATCACATAAATGTCACGACGTAGTGGTATACAGAGATTGATTAATCACTACTCGATAAAGATGGAAAAAATCTAGGGGGGGGGGGGGAACACTTACAAATTAGTTTTTGGTGGAGGAGATGATGGGTTGACAGAATAAGAAGGATTGGAATCAGCTTTTTCACAAGAAAATCCTCTCTCTATTATTTCTTCTTGATCATCAATCATCCCTGACCTTTGGTTTGAGCCCATTATGTCTCCCTCATGTAATGTTAGACCTGCAAATTCAACCCCATTATTTTTCTTACCTTTAATTAATTTGTCAGAAAACAAAACCTAAAAAATAAAAATATAAATAAAAATAATAATTATGTTCTTTTGGATTAGGACATACTGAATGATATATAGAAGTATAGAACTAACAGTCTATTTTCCAAAGAGATATAAGTAGGAAAAATAGAATAATAATACAAGAGAATGATTACTAAAAAGAAATTCCAAATCACCTGATGATGATAATGTGGCTTTGTCAGTGCTCTTCACTGTTCTATACATCTACATGTAAATACACCAACAAATAGAACAAATTAATTCTAGAAATTTAAACCCAAGAAAAATAGAATAAAAAGGGTCCACATTATTAAGATTATTAGTATTATTCTTTCTATACTTGATGCTTCTTGTTTTTCACTTCCTTGTTTTCACCCTCCCACTAAAAATGCAATAATGAATCTTAATTTCATGAAACCAGATACAAAGTACAAGCATACTTAATTTTTCTAATACCTCACCTGCAAGTGACTCTTGACATGGGCTAGGGTTAAATCCTTCACATTCATCAACTCGAGCACCGATTTTGGTGTAGCTCCTGATAATGATCAAATTCAGTAAAAGAAAAAAAAAATATAGGATTTTCTCCATACACAGATACAAAGCTAAACCATCGTAGAAAAACCATTTTAGCTTTGAATCTACGACACAGATACAAAGCTAAAATGGTTTGTACTTGATTTTTCTTAATTAAGTGATACATTAAAAAAAAAATTATTGTGTTTATGATCGAGAAAGAAAGGCAAGCTTACTTTCATGGCCACCAAGTAATTGAACAGCATGAACAAAATGAGCATGAAGAGTAGTAGTCCATCTCATCCTAGGAGCTCTAACACCCCTCTTAACACCACAAATTGTCGTCGCCATCCTCGAGTTCCTTTTGAATTCCCGGCCATAGATATGAGGCTGATGATTAAGCTGGTGGTGAAGATGATGATTATAAGAATTACTAGTACTATTACTATTATTACCACCATACCCTCTAAATGATGACATACTCAAACCATTAAAATGATTCATATGATCAAACCCTAAGCTCAAAATAGGCTGATCATTACCTAAGCCCAACCCAACACTACTACTGCTGATATTATTATTGTCATCGGTTATCCCACGACAGTTCATCTCACTACCTGCACTACTACTCCCCGACTCCGTAGTCGTGGAGCTCCGGTCACTGTAAAAGGTGACCGCCTTCATAACAGCCGAGTCATCGTCGGCTGTTAGAGTAATTAAAGGCGGGCTGATTTGTAGTGAAAGATCCATGTTCATAACAACACAGATCTAAAAGATCAATGAAAGAAATAAAAAACAAAAAAAAAAAAAAAAAAAAAACACTGAAAAGGAGTGGTTGGTTGGTATAAGAACTTAGGATAGATGATAATTAGATCATGAGTGCCTTATGATTTGCATGGGTTTTTAAAAACTCCAAGAAAAAGAAAGGAGTTTAAATTATATTTTTTTTATTTTTAGTGTAATATTAATAATATTTGTAAATGTAAAGTCTAGCTCTGTATAATAAATATTTTAACAGAGGAATAGAATTGCAGAGGATGATGAAAGGTTTGAATAGAGAGAAAGGTGTATTTAAGGATTCAGAAAAGTTAAGCTGAACAAAAAAAAAGAGTGACTAACAGAGAAAGAAAAAAGAGAGGTATAAATGAAAGGGTGTTGGTGGGTATTTTGTTATATTTAGTTTTTGGAAATTTCTGCAGAGGGAATGGGTTGGAATACGAGAAAACAAATGGGGTACTGTTCAATGGAATATTTTTCAAGGAATTTTCAATTTTTGAGAGACTTTTTATTATTATTTTTATTTATTATGAATACTTGTATGTTAATGTTCTCATCATCATCAATTCATCAACGCTTTCTTAGTTATCCCTTTCGTAGCTCCCACTCCTAGTCATGTTCTCTTTCACTAATTTAATTTAAATGTGGTGTTGTGCCCAACTTGGACCATTTTTATGTTCTTATTGGGTACTCGTACTTATTAGTTATTACTAGGTTATACTTGTTGGTGCAATGAGTGTATTGAATACGAGTGGATATATGCATCTAGTAGTTTTATTTTTTAATTTTTTAATTATACCCGTATTTAAAAATACTCGCTTACGGGGAATAATATAGATGTAGTAGGGTTAACATTTGAATTTGATACTCTATATTTTTTCCTTTTTACTTCTGGGTATTACTTTGGAATGAATACAATCTCTAATTTACATTGTCAACTACGTATATTTAAGCTGTGATGGTTTTGCATAAGTTTTATTTTCAGTACTATTTGAAACGAATCGTGAAAATATATCTATGTATCATTGTTAATAATTAGCTATCAAGTCATAAAGTTTTTTAATTCTTTTTTAGAAATCAAATAAGGCCCTGTCCACTTCACCTTATTTTTGCTGAACTAAAATTATTTTAACTCAACATAAATGATTTCTGCTGAACTTTAATTATTTTTACTGTACTGAAATTAATTTTACTGAACTGAAATTATTTTTGTTGAACTGAAATTATTTTTTTACTGATTTTACGTTATATTTCTTGTTTAAAGTTACTGATTTTTAATTTACTGAACTGAACTGAACTTAATTTTGCCGAACTAAAATTATTTTTATTGAACTGAAATTATTTTTACTGAATATTATTTTTTTTAAGGTGAAGTGAACAGGGCCTAAATGTAAAAAAAAAAAAAAAAAATACATAAAATAGGAGTATTTTATATGTGAAAACAATTTCACCAAATAACAAGTTTCAAATTCCTAGGTTTGTTTTTCTTTTTCTTCAAATAATATCAATATGTGGATCTATTTATCTACAATATCTTCTGTATGTAGTTGCCTCTAAATTTAGTACGAATAATACTTTGTTAATTAAGTTTGTACTGTACATTTTTAATTTTTTTTTTTTAATTTATTTATTTGGGAGTTGTATATAAAACTTTCCTAAATTTCCTATTTCTTTTTAATCAAGTAGATCAATCTCCTTCTACCATCTGATATAAAAAGCTGAAAAATAAAATGAAATGATTAATTTTTTTTGTATTATGATTTGTGATGTTATAGATCTCGTTCTACTCCTGATTTAAATTAAGCTTGACATGTTATAAATTTTAAGATGTATATGTGTCAGTTGTGTGACCACTATGGACAATTTGAGGGTGGAAATTCACACACAGTGTGATTATATTATTGTATAATGATATTCATGTTTCGAATTAACTTTCTTTTCTTTATCCCAAAAAGTAAAAAAAAAATAAAAAAAAAAAAATCACACAGACTTACTTTTCATTAATTCTCTGATTTTTAATGGTTTCAATTGATACAATAAGTATATATGAAAAAATGGTTTAAAAAAAGCATAAAAAAATGGGCAAAGAAATATCTATTAAGACAAGTATAAGTGATCAATCAAAAGAAATATATAATTCACCATCTGAATAATTGAGCTTTCAATTTGTCAAAAAGAATAAAGAATGTAATACCTTTTTGTCCAATTTCCAAAAAGCCAATAATTCCATATGAAATGGAGATCTATTAGGTTAATTGTCGGAGGATTAATATAATGAGAAAATCATGCAAAGGTGATTTGATTTTGATTAATGCAAGAGAGATGATGATACTTTAATTAATATTCTAAAAGTATACTATACGTTGTTTAATTATAGTTTCCAAAGTTGTGGTCAGCGCCTGATGCGCTCTAGATTCTCCGGGAAGTGGAAGTCTTTTATCTGCTTGTGCGAGGACTTGGCTGTAGGAAGCATACTAGGAGTAATACTTTATATAATACATCTAAATATTATAATATAAAGTTTTTATATGTATAATATTGTATTGATTGAGTACAAATTGCTAACTTAGAGCGAAGTATTTCTCAAATATGCTTAATACACATGGTCAACATGTCTCACTTTGGGCTTGCTCTCAAGGTTGTCAAATGCTTGTGCTCTATATTCCTTATTCCTTGCGTTTGTCTCATTCTTTGGCTCTCTTTCTCTCTCTCCTACTTTCTATTTTATAACTTTAATTCTCCCTTCATCCTTTTTACTCTTTCTAACGACCGCATCTTAACATCTTGGTACACCAATTAAGCCTAAAAATCAGGTTATAGTCTAACTTCTTCGTAAAATAGACTATTTTCGACCCTTTTCTCCTTATATTTCTTTAGTTTTGCAATTTAGATTTCAATAAATCTACACATGTAGTGTAGATGTTCGTCCGTCTCCCTATGGTGGAGTCGTTTGTTTTTGTTAGTTTAGTTGTTTGTTTTTGTTTAGGGTATTTTTTGTGTGTTAGGGTTTATTAAAAAGGCAATCATCTTTTGTTCTATTATTAGTTCGTTGGTAAATAATTGTCCGGGATCTCAACGGTTGTCAAATCTTCAATTCATAGGCGTTCAAGTGAATCAAATGAAAATATCATCCTTACGGGTACAACAAATCGTTAGACTGTCTCTTCGAAAAGGCTGTATATTCCAGCAATGTGTGCAAGAGATGTACCACAGTGCAAGATCTATTCAACGATTGTTCCTTTGATGAAGGAAACCCTTACTTGATTCAATTTTATGTATTTGTTGATTTAGATTTCATTTGTAGATGTCGTAGGACTTTTGATTAATGTATTGATCTGTTTAAATATATATATATATATATATATATATATATATATATATATATATATATATATATATATATATATATATATATATATATATATATATATATATATATATATATATATATATATATCACCCTGCCATTCTTTCATCCTTGAACATTAAAGGATAATTGAGGTTAGTTGATGAGGTTACTTTCATAACTTAAAATATGCAAAGATAGTCAAAGATTAAATTTTGTACTTCTTTCTCTGTTTTTTATATATTACACCACTTGTCTTTTAAGAAATTTTCACAAATATTGCATCATATCTATTTTAGGAAAACAAATATTTGTGTTCACACTACATATATACTATATACCCTTACTTTTTAACACTTAGGCCCTGTTCACTTCACCTTAAAAAAATAATATTCAGTAAAATAATTTCAGTTCAGTAAAAATAAGTTCAATTCAATTAAAATAATTTTAGTTCAGTAAATTTAATTTTAGTTCAGTAAAAATAATTTCAGTTTAGTAAAAATCAGTAGTTGTAAAGAAGAAAATCTTTCTCATTCCAATTCCTTTTCCAAAGCTTGTCAAAGTTGTGGAACTTAAAATCGGATGCCAGGTTCATAACCCTCGGCAAAAGTTTTTACAATGTCCAATTGAAATCAAGAGAGGAACATAATGCTATTTTGGCAAATGGACCATGGTTCATTAATAAAACTCATGTCCATGTTCAACCATGGAAGCCGGGTTTTAAGATTTCAGAAGAAAAGCTTCAAAGCATACCAGTGTGAGTGTATATACCAGATTTACCGGTGGAATTTCATAAGTTAGCAATCTTAGAAAAAATTGGGAATATGATTGGCACTTTTGTCAAGGTCGATTCATCCCTTCTTCGGTCAAATAGAATGCAGGAAGCAAGATTGCTGATCTTGACTGACATTGAGGCATAGAAGAAATCGGCTGTATGGATTGGAAGCTTTCTTCAACATATTATTTTCATGAAAGTTCCTCCTCTATGCTTCTTCTGTGGAGGCTCCGATCACAAGAAACAAGATTGTGCAAAGTTAAAGTCAAAGCAACACCAGACTCCGGCCACCGTCAAAGAAACCAACCGTGAAATGGAAGTGGAGATTGATGATGGACAAGGTGAATGGATCCCTGTTTTGGGAAAAAAAAAGAAAAAACGCGCCAAATTTCCACTTTTGGAAATAAACCAAAAGAAATTCAAATTGCCCATTTGGCCCAAATGAGAAAGTAGGCCCATTTACTAAATCCAACTCTTCTTTGGTCCCCATTATAAACCCAAATACTTTAAACACTTTAACTCAAAGTTAACCACAAAAAATCCAACCCACCAAATCTACTATTCCATCCCTTTCCTCCCATCCATATAAGCCGTCCACCTGTCAGCCGAATCGTCAACCTTCCAGCCCATCTCATGACAACTTGGATACCAATTTTGCAAAAACGCCATCCTAGCCATCCATTTCAAACACCCAAACCCTAGCCACTCGACCAAATGACAATGCTTCCTTATCCCAAACACATTTGGAACATTCCAACCCTAATCCTTTAGTCAACCCAAATATTCTATAAAATCCTCAAGTAGCCACCACTAATAACCACTCTCGATCCTTCCCTATTTTCTCCATGAAGAACTAAAAAAAAACCACAAATGGTGTCGTCAAACGGCTCCAACCAATTCTTCGAAGGCAACTGTCCCTTCCAATTTGGGAGCGAGTAGGAGGAAGTGCGGATGCCTGCACAACTAATGTTTCATCTTCTCAAAATAAACACACTCAACCCTCGCTACACTCTACCATTCCAACCCCTGCCTTTGGATCTACCTCTGCCGGTCATCACGAAAGTGATGGGTTCAACTCCAGATGAAATCATCTACCTCGAACCTCCAATTCCGCAATACCCATAGTGGAAAGTGAACCAGATGAATATCTTTCTCAAAACTCTATCTAAATGGATTCAATTTCCTCTGAGGAAAATCCGTCAATTCATCCTAGATCCTCAGTTCGTGGATGCCCCCTATCAAGGGATAATGATGGCTTTCAAGCCGGAAGGCGTCATGTATCCAGCTCACCTCCTCGATCTCGGAGATCTGAAGAGCATTTGTCTTTGGTGGTGTTTATACGATGGTGGCTAAACCTAGCTCAATTGCAGAACCTCCCATGGGCCATTCATTCTCAGCTGGCCTTCTTAGTCGATCCTACGCCGATCCTCCCTCAATCGAGGCAAATCTACATGTTGTCATCCAAGCACCTGAAGCTAACCCTTGGAAGCTACACAAACTCTATTCTGATTTTGCACACTCAAAAAGAGTTTCCCTAACTTCACATCAAAGCTCAGTCTACCCTGGACGTGATGTCAGGGGAATTCTGGATGCAAGCAGAATTCAAACCAAGCAACAACTACCTTTTCAGCAAGGTTTACAACAAGTTTCTGTTCTTGGGTGACCAGACCAGCCAGCGTATTCGGAAGGAGTTCTTTTAAGACGACAACATTCTTAAACCCATGATTATTATGGCCTGGAATGCAAGAGGAACGTTCATCCCTCATGCAACTCACCTCATCGATGAACACAAGCCGAGTCTCCTTTTCATTTCTGAAACCAAAACAAGCAAAGCTCACACTGAGCACATCATCAAAAACCATCCCTTTGACAGCTACCACTTGGCTGAACTAATGGGGCTTTCTGGTGGCATTCTGCTTCTTT